CCTGACAAAGCTGCTCTATGGCTATTCCAAAAGCCATTTCCTGGGTAGTTACTTTAGCTACTCTAAGCATAAACAGAAGTCTCAGACAGGGCTTAAACCTACCTCTTATTCTTCCGAGGAATTTGGATTTTGTGGTTGTTTATGCTCCTTCTTACCCTGCTCCAGCAATGGAGCCAGTCCTTATAGCCGTTCACCAGCATTCTTGGCACTGCAACAGCCCAGATGCCAAGCTTTGAATTCTCATTTTCTTCCCCTGCCCGCTATAGCGGCAACATCTGCGCCTGTGGTTGCTTCCTGGCTGGCCTCTTATCAAGGATTCTTCTCTGACTTTGTGGCTAACTCCAGTGCTGTTTGTGATGACAGCTGTTGCACTGGTGCAAAACCAGCCATCTGGTGACCGACTTGTCCTCTTGGACACTATTTTCTTCCAGCTGTCAGGAATTTACTGTTGGACTGGAAATAATTTGGTATGTAAATACATTCTTCATGATATCCAAGCTATTACTTCCATGGGCAATGCAGTGGTGCCATCACAATTCCCATAGCCGGGTGCATCCACAGCCACCTCTCTTCTCTCAGTATGGGGAGGGATGAGTCTGATCACTCAAGCCCAATAAGCTTTTCAACAGTTTCAGGCCTACAAATATGATCTTTTGACTCTTTAGATTTAATAAACCCTCCCCAGCATGCCCATATTTATGTGCTCCAGCAGTGGGAATACAGATCATCCCAGACTGCTGCTTCTCTGAACTCTAAAAAAGAGGTTTTTGCCATTTAGCTCGTGCAGTTATCATTCATTCCTAGCTGGCCTGTCCCAGAGGCATGCTGCTGACAGAGGCTGCTTGCTCTCGCTGAGCATCATGCCTCTGATCTGCAGCCTTCTTATCACTGCTTCTCGGATCCACAGCGACAACCGAGGGCCTCGTTAATGTCCCCGTTCCCCCCAGGCAGACAGAAAAGCGGGGTCTGCTGCTCAAGAATGCACATTGCATTTCATCCTCTTTCCCCAGTGCATAATTTTTTATTGGACTAAAAATTTACAAATTCATGATAGCATGTGTGTCTTGAGGGAAGCATAGGTAGCTGTGGCTCCTTAAGACTGTTAACAGTTATCCTGCCAGCTGTAGTTCTAGAATCCACTTCTATTCACATATCTAATCTGTCATTTAATCATCTCATTTGCTCCGTTAAGACTTGAGGTAATGAGTCCAGAAAATTATTTATAAGTGTTTTCTTACATTTGAATTTTGATGCGATCCTTTATCCATCAGTGGTGCAGTCAAATTGTTCCATTCTACAGCAAAAAAAAAAATCTCAATCTTCTAAATACAAACACGAGCAGCCACGTTATTCCATTCTGCTTCTTGGCGGAAGCAATTTTCATCAAGGATGTCCCAGTGACATTTTCTCTGACACCTAACACTTCATAAGAGTAAGCTTTTTATTTTGAGAGTTTTGGGTTTTTAGACTGACTTGTGGGGAATGCAGAGTTCATTCAGTACATGTAGACTGGGACAGCAATAGTGCACAATCAAAAGTTAATTTGCAGGACAGGAATTGCTATATAAATTTAAATTTATTTCAGCTTCATTCCCCTGAGGCAACAGCTTTAGTCACCACCACCAAATGCTTTCCTGGTGGAGCTGCACAAGATTATTTCCACCCGGCAACTACCAGGAGAAAATTAAAGAAAGATGCACAAAAATGAAGAATGTAAGAGTGCCCATCCCTGTAGTTTTTACTGAAAATATGGACTGCCAAATCCTGGATGCTTGCGTTTAAAAAAGACAATGAAAATTGAAGTATTATATTTAAACTCTCCATTTAATGGAAAAAAAGCATAACTCTCCCAGAGAAATACAGCAGGATTTTCTGTTGTTTTACATGCTTCATTTCACCTCTTTCTAAGGAAAGGAATTATTTTTTCAGCCAAATAGCCTGTCCCCTTCTCCACACCCTCTCCAAACACATGGTTGACTTTTCATGCTACCGGCCTCTCAGCAGCAGCACAGAAGTCTTGCAGCCTCCTCAGCTATTCGGATCTCCTGCATAATTCAGGCAATCCCCAAAACTAATACACAGCGTGCAGCAGCCCGACCCTGCCGCACCCCTCTCGCGCCGGCATCTTCTCCTTTCCCCTCTGCTTCCACCACGCCAAAGCTGGTGAGAATTGTCCAAGGTCATCCTGTGCCAAGGAAGTCCAACTTTGCTGGACACCCAGCTCTTTGGCTGCCTAACGTCCTACCCTTTTAGCATCGTGTAAGAAAGGTTGCAAGGGTGTAAGGTTATTATTTTAAAGTCCTCCACAATTAGTAACAGACAAATAGCAGCAGGACAAAAACAGTGGCTTCTCAGGGTGTTTGAAGGGGTCTTTCTGCCTTACAAGAAACCCACAAAGAGAAAACAGCAAATGGAGATAAGCTGGGACTTCATTTTATGCAAAAGTTGGATTGAAGTGTTTTTGGGACACAAACCACGCAAGCACACTACCAGTTTCGAAGCTTCAGCCTTCCACCACCTCACCAGAAACGTAGCCCGGGCTCTGCTCGGCTCCGCTTCTTCCAGCTGGCCCTTGGCAACCTGCTTTCCTGCGTTTGTAAGCCCTCTCTCCGCAGCCTCTGTGTTGTAACACACTGGTAACAATAACATTTCTGAAATCGAAATGCTTTGCAGGCCAAAAAGCTGAGCTCAATCAACGCAGGGGGAAAGCAAACCACGGAGAGCTATTGTTTCTGAAAACCGTCCAAAATCTCTTGGCGCTTCAAGGCATTCCCAATGTCCTTTGCACTATTTCCAGGAAAAATGATTCCCAAGGCCTTGCATATTAAAAAAAAAAAATCTGGCTTATATCAATAAACATGATAACTGCTGTATTTTTTCTCTTTAATCAGAGCACAGCTAGCATGTAGAAGCAATCAGAGCCGAGTCGAATAGCCTGTTTTAAGTGTAGCATTTCAAAACTCCCAAGTTCTCCGTTGAGGAGTGTAAATTAACTCCTGGGACTCCTGAACCTGAGCATCATCTTTGACTACATTTATGTAATGCAAGTTCATGAAGAAAATTTGTGGGCAGATGTTGGCGGAATAAGTGGTACAAAAGGCAGAAGGGCAGTTTTTCCGACCAAATAAACTTTTTCAACTTGCCTATGTTGTGGCAGAAGCACCGCCTGCACCAGTGGTTGGGTTGCAAGCCTAGAAACAGGATTGCTGGTTCTCATCTCAAATCCTAACGTACTGACATTCAACAAGTCATTCAAAGCTCAGGGGGGTTGCAGGGGGAGGTTAAAGGATTTAGAGGAGATGAGGGGTCCATCTACCTTCCTTATCCCCTACCTGATACAGGAAATCCAATTTGCAATTAAATTGGAAATAAAGTTAAACTCAAAGACATATAATATGTGGCCCAGGACAGACAAAACTTCAGGCAATACCACGGGTAAGAACATTGAATCAGTAACAAACCATTGGCAATCACCACTGAATTACTCCCATATATTGTTTTTACTAGCTGTGCAATATAATGAGCGTTGTACTTATAATCCAATACAACCAACCAAGAATGTGCAGACGTCCCTTGTTCAGGATAACAGCATATATTTTGTCTCATTTTAGCTGTTCAGAGAGCTGAGAAACCCTTCTATTCTCTGGATTGTGAGCTGTTCTTGCAGTCTTACATAGCCAAAAAATAAAAAGCTTTGAATGTCTCTGTTCTTCCTATTCAGAGGGTCTCAGGTGGGTGGCTTTGGAATAAAGAACTTATAAATGAAAACTTAGACGATCAGGGGTACTTTAAGATTTTACAGCTAAAGGGAAGTCTTTAGGATTTAGGAAAGGTGTGAAAAGATACACGGCCATAATTTTGTCATTTATATTTACCCACCCCCTGCTCCAAGAATCATATTTTGAAGAGATAAGGAAGAGTCTAGTATCCCTGTGAGAACAGTGAGAAGCTTATGGCTTGCTTTCAGATTTCACACCACATGCTGTCTCTACCGCAGTCCCATAGACCAACCGCTGTCTTCATGGGAAGGCACTGTGCGATGAAATAGTCTTTCAGGTACATTTCACAAAACCAGAAATGACGGATTAGGGAGTTTTGTTCGTTTTTTCAAACAAATGGTGCACTTTATGATGTTCTACCTCACATCTCTATCACCTCTCTACCTATTAGACTTCCCAAACGCTTAACCTTACTGCGATATTTAACATGGGTATTTTATTTTCGGAATGATTGTGAAACCCTTCACATGTCATGGAAGATTAAAGAACAAAGATCTACTAAAACCAAAGCAGTTTCATTCCCTTGTTTAGCTGAATATACCTCCAATCCTGTGATTTCACAAATATTATTAAAAATATACAGCCGATTTATTACTCAGGTTCAGGGCAAAGGGTTGTGTTGTGAGGTTGGGGTCTTTTGTTTGGGGTTTTTTGGTTTGGTTGGGGTTTTTTTTGTTTGTTTGTTTGTTTTTAATAGCGTTGCAGCTGCTCTACCTCAAAAGTTTCAGCCTCAGAAATATGGGACTGAGTATTGGGAAAACCTCATTTAGCTATGTAATATCTGTGCATGGGTAAGTTTTCTTGTCGTAGCAGCTAATCCTAACGTTAGTAACCCCTGCTGGCATTGCTGGGTAATGGGATTCCCATGCCTGAGGTGTTAATGCCTTTGGGACATCTCAGTTACTGGAGCCAAGAGAATCAACTCTTCTGTGTTACTGCTTTTATAAATATAGTCCCCAATTCAGTCTGTTAGTAATTTGTCCACCACAAAGTTACCACCGCCTTTACAAAGAAGAGCGGCGTTAAGTTGTGAGGCCGCTCTGAACCAATGCAGAGCTGAAGAGCTGAAAAAATATTTCACCCCTTCAGGAAGGAAATACAGTACCTTTATAATTACTAGGAGAAAGCTCAGTTAAGCATGAAAGTAGGCTTCACATGCATAATAAAGAATAACAGTGACAAAACCTTGGATCTAATCCGATTTCCTTCCCTTCACTGCAGAGACCCCTGGAAAAGCCGGACGGCCTGGATGTTTCGGATCAGAGCAAAGAACATCCCCAGCATCTGTGTGAGAAGTGCAAAGTTTTGGGCTACTACTGCCGCCGTGTGCAATAAACCTTCAAAGTGGCCTCTTCCCGTCCCCGTCATCCTTAAAGATCCTCTGGCAGCATGCGATCAACAGCAACACAACAAATCAAGATAAAAGCTAAAATAATTGCCAATATTGCCTATCTAATAATATGCCTTACCATTAATAGAATGTAACATTTCTCCTGTGCGTGCGCACGCATGCAACAGGTATTTGCAGGACTATGATTTGTATACATACATATATATGTAAATTTATATATATATATGTACACACACACATATATAAAGCGTTACTGATAGTGTCCACAACAGAACCACGGTTGCAGGTTCTGCTGATTGTTTACACAGACCCTATATCATGGCCAGGTGAAATGAAGTACTATTCAATAGGCAAGGTATAATATTCACAAGGAATATATGTTATATGTATGGCTTTTGCAGAGGTTAAATAACTGTGGGGCCACTAATTGCAAGCACTCTCCCACAACATGAACGTTATTCCTATTATATGACAAGACAAAGGAAGATGAAACAAGCCACAGCATAAAAGAAGGAAAATTATTGTTTTCCCAGTTTTAGAAAGTCTGAGAATTTTGTGCTGCTGCTTTCTTGGACTTTTTCTATTTGTTACCATCGCTTGGGCAGGGCTTAGGCAAAATCATTTTTGCAGGATGTGGCAAAAAAAAAGTGAATAATTGTTTGAGGGTGTGAGTTGGGTAGAAAGGGAATGCCATAATGGGACCCAGAGCATCAGGAAGGATTCCAAGAGGTTTTTGAAGGAGACAAAATTGGCTTGCTTGGGCGACTAACAGATCCTTCTCTTGTCATATAATCCCGCGGAAAAGGTCCCTGTATGTGTATGGGCTGTTCATTAGGCCACAAGCACACTAAATTTACTGTGAATAAGGGGGGATAAGAATACTTAAAACTGCCCCCAAAACTCTTAATTGAAAGATTAGCCAAACTAACTATTTATAATAGTTTTAAAGCCACTTTCTGGAAATATTTTTATGTCCTGTTTTCTACTGTACAAATCTGTTATAATGTAAAATTTGTTAGCCATAGGGGTGTTACAAGGCATAGAGAACACTCTATATAAGCTTCCCTCTCTATGTCTTCCTGAAACACCTACATACCTGAGGAGAAATGTAGGAGTTACATTTTGTTGTCCCATTTCAGGTAGAACTTTGTGCAGGGGCATCCTGCTGCAAAGAAGTATCTCATCAGGGATTGGGAAATACCATGAACTGAAAGTACCTCTAGACAGTATCCTGTTTGTATGTCTACATAAGAGTACATTGGCAAAAGGACACAACAAGCAATTCACTTGCATTATTCACTAAAAAAAAAAAATTACAGGGATAATGTTTGTTTGGGGGTTTTTTAATCAACAACTTCTATTTTTATGACGTTTCCTTTAGAGAGATTGATTTGTGTGAATGATACGTAGTGGAAATACTTTAAATCCTCAATAACTTGATGTGAATGAAATTTGTTTTGAGGACTAATTCCATAACGCTAAGACAGAGGGAGTTTTATGCCAAGTTCTAGCAGGATGTTACCAGTACGTGCAGTCAAGCTCTTGTAAAGCAAATTGAAAACTTACAGCGAGCATTCGTATAGGAAATGTGAAGCTTTTTCTAAATTTGCTCTAGGGTGAAACTTTTGCCTTTTCCCTGCTTTGCTATAAGCAGGGCAAAATTGTTTCTGCTTATCCTGGTGGTAGTGTCATGTACCTATCTCACCAACTTCATTATTTATGGGTAGCCCAGGTGATCCAGCCTACTGGTCGGAGCAACGGATAACCACTGGGACTCCTGGCTTCTGACCACGGCTCTTCCATTAGCTCCCTGATTTTGGGCAAGTCACAAGATCCTTCTGGACCTCAGTTTCCCCAACTGCAAAATGGGGATAATAATACTTCAGTATACCTACCTCACAGGAGAGTTGTGAGGCATACTTAATATCTATAAGTCTTTCGACATCACTGGGTGAAAAGTGCTATGTAATGCTAAAATACTATTAACTAAATTAATCACTTCGAAACTAGTTTTGCCCAGCTGGCATTTCCATCAACTCAAATAGCTGAAAATAATATTATTGAAAGTTAACACTAATAAGAGTTCAGTTGCCTCAGTGAAGATATGCAGTTTTAGCATTTTCAAATGGAAACACGTTCTTTTGCACAGACTCAAAAATTACCTTAGAGACAAATTCTGTATACAAAGATACTAATCTGCCCATACAAATAAGAATAAGACAATACGCAGGCAAATCTAGGGGTGGATTTTCAAAGCTTGACCTGTAGTATTAATCTCGATAGTTTGTTTCAAGCACAAGTAATTTTGAAAGAGCCACATACTAAACCAGATCTGTTTTTTCCTCTTGAGCACTTAATAGCACATGAACAAAACAAACAAACAAACAAAAAAATCACCTTGACGCTTCACATCCAGCTAAAGGACGTGTAGAGAAACCCCCTTAGATGAAGATAAGGGGAAATGTTACTTTATTTTCTCCCTGACACTAAGATGTTGCTGTCAACCATTTTTTTCTGTGTTGAAATAATTTCCATCTTACGATAACCACTAGATCTGTAAAATAGCACATCCCTTGATGTAGCTACATCAATATACGGCACACCACCAGGTTCCGAACAAAGACCAGCTAAAAGAGACCATTATATGCAATTGTTACTATTTTCATGACAGCGCCCTGTTAAAAATTGTTTATCCAGATTCAACACTGCATGGCAATGCCTTTAGCTTATGGATTTTTAGGTTGTAATTTAGAATAAGGTTCCTAAGAATACACGTGATCGACTTTAAAACAATTAACGTCTGTAGGTGTAGAATAACAATTCTTAAAAGCATGCTTAGGAGACTTCAATATTTATATCATTGATATTTTCCTAGGAAGCAGACATATAAAGTAATGTTTAGCATATTTGAAATAACAAGGAGGGGAACAGATTTTCCCCCCACGCTTACGTAGGGGAAAAGCAGATAAAGAACAAAACGCGCAGGAAAGCAAGGAACGACACCGCCGTAGTTTGTACTGCCTAACTCGTAGACCGCAAATCCGTCCCGGTGCGGGATGCGGGTGCGATCAGGCCCTGGGCACCCCAGGGTTGGAAGCAACCTGCCTGCCTTGCCATCCCTGCCAAAAGAGGGGTGGGGAAGGAGAGTGACAGGGGGCGGGGGGGACCCGGGGAGCGGCACCCTCCCTCCCCTGCAGCCATGGGGCCGAACTCCGGCTTCCCCCCAGCCGTGTGAGGACATGCCCTTGTTTTCTGTCCTCGCTGCACAGGGCTGAAACCTCGTCCCCCTAACGAGCTGGTGCCTGGGGAAGGCGGCAGCGCCAAGCTCGTGCGAGGGGAGCGTTCCTCTCTCCCTCCCTGCACGCGGTTTGCTCATAGGATTGTAGCATTCGGCCCTGGGCATTTGGTCCCCGCTCATCTGTATGTAGTTTGTGGGTTGCTGGAAAAACACATCCGCCTAAGTAATGCGCAACAGCTTACGACCATTGGCTTTTAGTTAATGGCACAGAAGGGAAATTTCTGAATTTTGATTTCAAAAAAAGGAAAAAAAAAAACATTGATTACAAAATATAAATTTCTTCTCCTCCCCTCCCCCCCAAAGTAATTCACCCGTAGACCTAACTCTTTCCAAATTGGAAAAACCTTAAAATTTGAGATTTTTTACTGGAAAGAGGATGAGTTGATTTACCTCTTAAATTTTTTTGAATGCTTTCTGAGGGTCTCTTTAACCAGCTCCGCATTTAGAACATCAGCTAGTAATCCTTGAAGGCATTTTCAGACAGTCTTACCCGAAGCGAAGCAAGCGTCAGTGAAAAGAGTTTTAAATCGATATAGGCCTCCCTAAATTGAGTATTCTTTAGGGGTGTACCTGAGAGAAATTCGCCTCTGTGCATTTATTTGGCAGACTGGATTTTTAACCTCAGATGCTTGCTGTTGCCTGCCTACAAATCCATCCAGCACACACTTTTTTTTTTCCTCTTTTCCCCCTCTTTGGAGACTTTTAACCTTTTCTTTATTCCTTAAAAAAAACCAAAACAAAAAACTAAACACAATTTGTTTCCTCAGTCGGTCAGAACATTTCACATGGCATTTGTCCTTGGCATTGGCACTGCTCCGGAGAAAAGTATCAGTGATTTGAAATGCGTGGTGTAGGTTTTATCTGCTTTAACTTGATGAGGCTCCAGTGACGTTGTTAACAAATACTTCATTTAATGGTGATGAAGAAAAATCCCTGTAGTTTAAAGGATGGCCCCATTTTAGCCAGTTTCTACTGCTGCTACCACAGACGTAAAATGATGCCACACAAGCAAAATTTGAGGCCTTTTTGTCTCAAAGTTGCTTTTTAATTTCAGATAAATACACAAGAGTATATATTATTTCTGAAAATAGGTGTATTTTGAAGTTCCCCATTATATGGGACTTAGTTTGTAAACTAAAAATGTGAAGTTAGGTATGTCTGAGAGAAGCCTTATACCGAGGAGTATTCTCTACACTTTACCTTTTTGTACAACATGAAATTTAGATTATACATGGGTTGCGTACCTGTGATGCTCTAGCAGTTATTCAAAAAATAAAACTACTTAAAACATTAAAAGTTAAGAGCTTTTGGAAATGTCAGTCTTCATAGATCAGTTCTCTCTGTCCTGCAGTCACGTAGAATATTTTTTTTCCTAGTATGGATCCTAAGAGTTGTCCACTGAACAGTACGCAGTAAATCACCAACGTGTGTTTTTCAAGTTAAGTGAATTGACATACATTTTCCACTTGCCTTCGCCAACGTATTTTAAAATGTGATGAAACTACCCCCATACGCAAGTCATTCTTTAAGGTATCACTCCACTCCCGCTTGGGCTTCAACCCGTATCTCTCCTATCTGCGAAACCACTGCTGTCCATTCGGTTTGCTATATTGCTGAAGTGCTCAGAGGGCTGTTTGAGATCTCAGATATAGGGATGATGGTTTGTGTTTCTAGGATGAATTTCAAAGGGACAATCGTGTGCAGTTACTAGCTATAGATGATTGATATAAATGTTTACCCCTGTATGAAGTATTTTACAGTTTTACTTGCAGATGTGTATTTATCTTGAGTTATACTTGACATAGAGTTTCGTTCAATTTTTTTTTTAATACTATGTGTGTATTTTGGAAACCTTTTTA